GTTGGGAAATTAATCTGCTGAATTTCCATGAGATTTTTTGGGTTATTATTGTTGCTTAATTTGTCATTATCCCATATCCTTTTTTGAATATTTTATGCTCAGAAAGTTGCAGGTTTGCTTTACCATAGTGAAGAGTATTAAAAGCTTATTGTGGTTAGATCTATTGTGGTCTAATTTTGTGCAGTGCGAAAGTAAATAGGATCAGAATAGAGAGCATGAGACTTTTTTCCCCCATTACGGGAAGAACTATGGCCGGCTGGATCTTCCTATCCTTCAGTCATACGGTGTCTTATAAGTTTTATCAAAATACTCAACTTTCCCAAATTTGGACACTTTTTTCGATCTTGACAGTTTGACGTTGTAGAATGCGAACATAACTAACTGTAAAAAAATAAGCAAGAACGCTCTCTTTCTTTGAACTTCCATTTTACTCAGAAGTGACGAAAAGCAGCAAGGTTGCGAAATAATTTTTTTAGTCGATGCCTACGAGCTGCGTCGACTTGCACGCCGTTTCAAAAAATTGGATATTGATGGTTCAGGGTCGTTATCAGTTGAGGTAATAGTCATTTTACTCTACTATCTGTTTAAGTTTACAGTGTTTTTTTTTGCGCAATGAATTACAGTCTCTTCCTGCAGGAATTCATGTCGTTGCCAGAATTACAACAAAATCCACTTGTTCAAAGAGTTATTGATATATTTGATGAAGATGGAAATGGAGAAGTAGATTTCCGAGGTCTGTGTTACATCTATTTAGTCTAATCTGTTTGATCAAACATAATTGCAGAATTTATCCAAGGTATCTCACAATTCAGTGTTAAAGGTGACAAAAATGTCAAACTGAAGTGTAAGTTTCCATCTTGTTCTTTGTTATTTCGTATTGAATTTATTACTTAGAGGTGTTCAGGTAAAGTCATTGAATTTTCTTCAAATTATTATAGCGACCTTCTAACTAAAGTCATCCCAAAACCTGAAAGTATAAATAGAGGGAATGAGAAATTTGCTCCGAAAACGCAATGCCTCTTTGACTCGTCACCCACGACCTGCGACCTTTATCTGGGCTTCCTCCCGAGAGGTTTTGTTCTGCCAGAGAAAGAGGCGATCGTCTCAAGACAAGGTGAACGGCGTCAGTGGTCCCGCTCCTGTTTGTTCGATTCTCTGTATCTCACATTCATGTGAGTCTTGAGCACATCAAGAAGGAGGAAAAAATCTCAGTAGAAAATTTGCTCGGACATTATTCTGGTTTCGACGTCATGTAGCCGTTATTGTGGATTTTCATGAATCTATGCATTCTAGTTGCCTTCCGCATTTACGACATTGATCGAGACGGCTACAT